CCAAAGTACCACAGATTGCTGATACAAATGAGACCAATGACTTTGTGGCATTTCCCCATTATTGAGACAGTCCATAGAAAATGGACACACCTTTAAGTACTTCTTTTGGATTCACACATTTTAGAAAGTTAAAAATCTAAGTCCTCCGCAGCTGCATTTGATATCTAAATACACGTTCTCCTCACAGCTTGCCTCTGAAGAAGAGAAATTCCACTACCATCAGTTTACAGCCAGTGAATTTAGTCACAGAGATGTGGTCGCTTGTCCAAAGTCACAGAGGAAGTCTGTGGCAATGCTGGGAATTAAACCCAAGACTCCAGAAACTCATTCCTATTTTTTAACCACATGCATCATCCTTCCAAATGTTCTTTCCTACAAAAAGATTTAGTCATGGCTGAAAAAGGCCCGGCTCATTAACAAAGTAGGGACACAATAAGAGAAACTGTATGAATCCTTCAAAACTGGCATAAGGATTTTCTAGTTAAAAACATTTGAGAATGTTTTATAAACTAAATTACGACCTTCTCTGTTTCCATTAAAAAAATCTTTGCTGAAGGTCATTTTTAATGGGATCTAGGATGATGTTCCAAGGGAAAAGCATGGGATGAGCTGTTTTGGCTCTGCACGCCATTAATTCTCTCAAGTTTTGAAAAACAGTGTGGTACCGATTGGTTTTTTAGCTCTTTCAGGGCAAGTCCTGAATTCAAGGTCTCACACAATTCTCCACTTCTGAGCCTAGAGGAATAGAGGAGAGCAACAACACAGTTTGTAAGAGGTATATACCTGCAATGTTCCTTCCTTAAAAGAACCAGGTCTCCCTCAAAATCAAGGCAATATTTGAACTCAGGACTCTGCCCTTTCTACCTACAATGAACTAACCAAATCACAGACAAGCCATTTAATCTCTTGGTGCTTCTTTAGTCCTCACCCAAAAAATCAAACTATTATTACTTGTCTTTTTAAAGCATTTCATAAACCATGAATGAAAAATGCAATATAAGAGCAAAACATTAAGTAAGTGCCAAAGCCACAAGATGAGACTCTGAATGAGGCCACAGACTTGACTTTCACTTTAGTTCTCTTGGGCTTATTTATTGCTGAGCATGGATTACTTGGATTTTCTATGCCAGATTAGCATAGTGTTTTATTTAGTTATGTTTTTTTTTAGCTTTAGGACACCTCAGTTTTCAGATACGTCTTTGATGTAGCTGTCAGACGTGTAGAAACAATGTTTCATTGTTAATATATCCATCAAAACACAAAATAGGTGTGATACATTAATGTTTCTATAGCAAACTGTTACTGTTAAGGCAGAGGTATATTTTTCAAGGTTTTTCTAAACATTGTTGCTTACCACTAATTTGTCTAAAATCTGTATCATAGTGCTTCTCAACAGCAATATTTCAATCAAATTACAAGTTTACCTGAGAAAAATAGCAAATACTCCAGCCAAGAAGGATACGTGCCTTAGCATGGCTTCCCTACCCAAATACTTCAATCTTTTCTTCTCCCAGTTGGAAAAGCAGAGAGGATTAGCACAACAAGGAGCCGATATCATGATTTATCTGCTGCATACTATGTTTTTAATATCACAACATCTATCAGATAGTCAAAATAAATGACTGTGGAAAGCCTTGAACATAGAGTATGCAAGATGAATGTCTGTTAGCCGCTCTAAGAGGAATGCAGCTGTAAATTGGCTAAACTCTTTACCCTCCTTGCACTAAAAGTTTTATTAAGGAAACTGGACTCTGCCTGAAGTTGAGAATGTTTTGTTTCTGTAAAATATTGTTGAACCACAAGAGGATCCAAGCTAACTAAATATGGAGCAAGAGATGTTTTTGTATACCAGCCCAAAATATTCTGTTACTGATTCATTGGTAACTTATGACTGGCTTGGATATAATCTTAACCAACCATCATTGGTTTTGGGAGATGAAATGACATGAGTCAACTGAAATTAATATGATAAAGAACAGCTCACTCTTACTGTTTAAGTAAGTCCAGTCAAAGCTTTGCTTCTTGCAACAGTGTTCCAGTCCTAAACTTTGAGAAAAGGCAAATACAAAGAGGCATAGCAAGCTCCATTTATCACACGATTCCTTTCTCCTGAGTTCAAAAACAAAACAGCCTTGTACAGATGGAAACATAATATCATGTTTTCACATGTACAGAACACCCAAAGAAACAATGGACAAATGCAATATTGTAGTTGTATTGCATACACAGCTTCATAAAGTGTTGCTGCCTGTTACCATTCTTCTTTCTTCTTCCTATTTCTAAGCCTAAAAATCTTGTCCATCAAGAGATACTCCAAGCTCTTTCAACAAGACTGACATAACCCTGCACAAGAATCCAGTTAATATCTTGTTTTTTGGCTGTAGTAAAGTCACACCCAGAAAATATTAAAACTTAAACTCTGGAAGTGACAGAGAATGATTTAAAATAGAGAAAAATGCTATGAATAAATTTAACCAGCAAATTTTAAGACTATATCTAACAATCCCTGCAGAAGTAGTACAGACAAATGTGAGGTTTTAAGCTGTATCTTGAACTCCAGATAAAGGAGCGGGTGACCTGGTGCCGCCAATAGAAAGGAGATAGATTCCAGGAGTTATCTACTGTTAAGCATACATAAAATTCCAGTAGAGAAAGTGAGTGATAAGTCTGGGGGAAACATGGTTCTCAGCAATGAACAGTCTTCTAATATAAACCTTTAAGCCCTAACTTGGATTGCCTTAGTTATCGGTGTGAGAGAATACACACCGTTATCTAACCACTGTAAAAGTGCCTAGCTTTAAAGTTTTAGGGTTGTGAGTTTCCCCAGTCACCCTGTAGGTTGCCTTTTACCTTTGAGTTTTCCCCAGTTCTGCTCTCCTTTTGTTTATGTGTAATATGGAAGCTGAACGCTTTTTAAATAAAGTTGTGTTCTGGCACAGCATAAACAGATATCAGTTTGAATTTGATCCACCTCTGATGAATCATGTATGTTGTATCATGGATATCACAAAAACTAGAGCCAAAACAGGCTTGCTTTTTCTATGGTATCTGTTTAAGCTGCTCTGAAGAGACTGAAAGAACAACTGATAACTGCTACAAAATTCACCTGTGTTCTAAAAAGGTTTTAACTATTCATGTATTTTACATACACGAAAAGAAGATCCCCGCAGTTCCTTAAAGGATTCACACTGTCTGCAAGCTTTGAAATACTGCCGTTCTCAAGGGGAGGCAGTCTACGATGGCTCATCCTTGCCTGCCTCAAAGTTACAAACTTGAATGGCAACTTAAAGGAAGGTGTCAGGATTTGTATGTTCCTTAGCCAAGACCCAATACTTTGCTGAAGATGGGCTTGTAGATCTAATCTTCTTGCACTCTCTTTTATTAGTGGCCCGGAGCTATCTGAAGTACCAGTTTCTTCTATCTGATAAAGTATGCAACATGATGTTTCATGGGCCTCACTGTTTTCTCTCTTGCTCCCTTAGTGGATTATATTTTCACGCTAAGTATTACCGAACTGGTAACTGCACGGATCTTACCCTTGATTCACCCTGGTTTATATTGTTCTTGGCTAGAAGAGGTAAGAATGAACAACCCCCAATGAGAAGTCTGACCATCTTCCTCCAGGGGAATTGCAGCTGTGCAGAGACCACATATCATCTTTGTAAAATAAGAATCTGTAAGGCAGTTTCTCCTTGGTGGTGTAATATGGTGCAAGTCAGACCCCTTTCACTAGGACAGATAAATCAAGCCCCTTCCTTTGATGAAACAGAAAAATAGCAATTGCATCCAAATAAAGACACAAGTAAAGGAATGGTAATTTATTTTCATCCAGTGTGAATCTGAAAACACACAAAGATTAGATTCAGCAAGCCTGGAAAACTACACAGGAACACTCAACAAAAGGATTTTGCAGCAATGCTTCCAGGAGTTCCTGCTTCTGGCCAGGACAAAAAATACCACAAGAACAGCCACAGTTTAATCTGGAACTGGATATGCATGCAAGAATAATGAAGATGGAGAGAGGGGGAATGACAGACACAAAAACAGAACACTTTTGCAAGCTCTGTCCAACCTAAAGAAAAGCTTGGGTTTCTTTACAGCTCAGGTTCAGCTGAAACCTTTATGTAATTCAATAGGGAAAGCTGGAGTGGAAATCAACACTTGATCCAGCTCTAATATTCTCTTTACCTCAAACACTTATATAATGTTGGTTCCTAATTGCTGATGAGTGATAGCCTTAAAAGTTGAGAGACAAACGGCACAATGACAAACCCAGTGCCCTGACAGGGTGCAGCAGGACATGGCTACAGAAAGGGTGAGGAGAAGGCACTGGTGGTAGTAGAGCCTGGAAGAAACCAGTGAGGTGGGGGAAGACAGCAAGGAGGATACAGCAATGGCACTGAGGCCTACTTTAAAAGGTCTCACACGGCCATTGTAGAGAGCTGCCATTCCAACTCCTTTATATTTTGTGTTTGCTAGCATATCTGCATGATGCTCATGCACATGCAAAGACTTGCAGACAGATTCTTCCCAAAGCTGATGCAAAAAATATATGTCATTTCTATATTATTAGCATACAAAGACATCATATGGAAAGTACAGACCTTTCCTTACACATCATCTACTGGCACCAGTTGCATTGACTTTAGCAAAGTAACTCCTGATTTACATCTGTATAAAAATAAGTCCAATATGTTCAAGGCAATACTCTGCACAGCTGGGACAGTTTAGACACATGAAATAGATGTTTGTAACACCATGTGATTAAAGGAAAACCCAAACCACAGAGTTTAGATCTGAATCCAAATCCTCCTCAAGCTTGGTGTGTTTTAGATCCAAGATTTTGATTCAGACCCTTGTCTATATAAATTGTAGCAATTCACAATTTGCTGTGATTTTAACTAATATATCATACTGAATATATCAGCACCTAGTTTGGATTTTACAGGCTTTGTGGTAACTGGTAAATTAAGTTGTGGAACATGAACAGTAATGATTACCGGTCTAGAACAAAAAAGAAACATGGAAAATAAACACGTTAACAGGCAACTGCCAACTTGATGTCCCATTGAAATTATAATTTCCACTGTCCATGACTCAGAGGTGAACACTAATTTGCTCTATCAGCAAATATGTGATAATTAGAAGAACTCACTCCAGAGTTAAGCAATAGGGCCACCTATGAGAGAACCCAACAATTTCGAGCATCAAAAAATTGTTATGGCTTCAAAACCAGTTTCTGCTTAAAGTTAGAACTCTATTTCTATGGCGATTATCCATCAAACTCAGCTGTTTCCTTGCTCAAATATTTGTGGGAGGGATTGAACTCTGTTAATGTCATTAACAGCAGCAATCTCATTTCCTTCCATAGGACAAGTCATTGATCACTTACACATTAGAAAGCAGAACTTATCTATTCTGAAAACATTTGAAATGCAAACAAACTTTACAGAAAGTATTAAACAAGCAAAATACCTTCCTCATTCAAGAGGTCTGCCTTAACTTCCAGCAAAGGCAAAGATCCAATAACTTGAAGCTGAAGTTAGAAAAATTCAAAACACAAATAAGATTCAGCTTTTAAAAAGAAAGGTAGTTTATCAGATGGATTTACATACTCATTAGTATGAATGAGAATAGGAGTGACCCATCTATTAATATGTACATACCTAATACTTCCTTCCCTAATAGCTTAATATTTTTCTGAATTTGAAAGTGTGCATTTTTAAAATGTACATACTGAAACTGGTTGTATAAGAAGTAATTAACCCAGTAATAAAATGAACTCATCTTCCCACTCTTGAGAATCAGTGTCCAAACCAAAATATGTCAACTATGCAGTTAGTTGTGGGAAAGAGGTTTCTTCCTAGAGTCTAGGCTGGGAATCCCAAGTTTGAGAAAGTGTTTTCCCATTAAGTTAAAGGTCTACTGACTCCAGCCACAGATGTTTTCTCTCAGAGGTGGTATATGCTGCCAACCAAGTTGACAATTCAGAAATATCGGGAATATGCTAAATAAGCCTTCATTTCCCCTTTCACTCTGAGCTATGATAATCCAGTCATTTGAAGAGTTTTCATAGTACTGTAGTCAGACAGCTTCAGATCCTCTTCTTCAGCAAGCAGTACTGAAGAACAAAAATGCTAAATTCAAGATCTATGCTGGATGTTAGTACTTAGAGTTACTAGATGACTGCCTTTTCCTCAACGCAACATTTTCACAACTAATCGGTACTTCAGCTTTTCCCAATGTAAGAATATCATGCCCACTTGCTCTCACCCAGCCGCTTACACCATGTCCATAAATTTCCCTGAGGCAGCAAAAGGAACAGGTGTCTGGGTGTAAGACAGCAACCTCCGAAGCAGATCTCAGATCCCTAACCTCATGCCAGCCAGTAAAACAGCATCACTTACAAGGACGTGAACTGATTTTGTCAGCCCCAGCTGGACGATCTTATATGACAAAACTATGTATTTTAATCAAAACCAAGTAGTGCTATGCCTCTTACCGTCATCTGAGCACTAAACATGAAAAGGGTGAACAGAAATATGGTTTCTTGACTCTCCACATCAACAGGGACACCATTCATTAGAAGAAAACTACCAAAGCTGTACTTGTTTCCCAACATCCGTAAATTAACTCCAGTGCCTCAGAGTGATCCACACTGCAACACCTGTCACATCCAGATGTTTTTGTTTGCTTTTGTAGCAGTGAAATCAAGGCTTTCACAAGTTGGGAAGACTGTTTTGGTGTTTTTGTGTAAATAGGGGATTTTGATACATCAGTCTGTTTATGTGTATACCTGCATACTTACCTACCTCTTCAGAATTAGCTTACCTGTGAAATCAGAAGTTTGTTGTTTTGTTCGGGTTTTTTTATACAAACCATACACCCTGCTACAGCCACCTTTTTGAGTACCTCACCAAAAAACCCTGAGCCTGGAAAGATTTGGGGATTGAATTATTTCAGTTAAAGGGTATCTGAGTCAAGGTCACATTGTCAAGAAAGTTCATGGGAAATTTGCTTTACTACTACTCTTCCTTTGATTCTTATATTAAATACAAGAAAAGCATACAAAGTCAGATTTATAGAAAAATTAGATTATTTTGGTGACTTAGATATGCTCTTGTTCAGTTCCAGTAAAGAACAGATTGCCTACTATGGGAGCACGGAGGGCAGTTATTGTTTTACCCAGAGAGTAAGTTCAGTAAACTGAATTCATTTTCAGTATCTATCTTCAAACTGGTAGTTAGAAAGTAGGAAGTAACTTTATTCCCATTAGGCAGGAGTGGGAAAATTCACCTATATTTGATTCATAGCTGCAAGTAACACTTGGAGCTTGATTAAAAACTTCAAGTCAATACTGAAATAAGTGGGAAAATGTCAACTGTTTCCAAGAAGACTAGGCCACCCTTTGTCAGCCCAGCTGTATCTTAAGAGAATACACACAGATAAAATATGGGCTTCTGGAAGTAGTTGATTCTGATTTTTCTGACCTCTGGCTGCTTGGAATTTTCTTTCTACATTTAAAGGTGATAAGCATTCGTTATGAAAACCCAAGCAAGCACATCTGCAGTGATTCTTCACTCTGGCACAGACAGGAGACTCTTAACTGCTTTTGTGTGAATAAAGCTACAGTGATGAATTCACACACTAACAGTAACTGACCGAGCAAAAATTTCTACAGTCTTTTATTGTGGCTCAGAGGATCAGGGAACTGGTGTCCCAGGTATGTCTGTGACTGATGGACGCAAATCACAATTTTTCCAAAACTGTCAGTGTGCCATCTGCAAAAACACAACCATGAAGTGGAATAGTCCATCTGTGTTAGCCTGCGTGGAGAAGAGCCTTATACGCTGCAGCTACCTTTTAGACTCAGAAGACCCGTCTCTATCTAAATGTCAGTAATCTTTTTGGTTATTTGTCAAGTGAAATAATTTAATACACTTGGAAATCATTTTTCCAAATAACTGATTATTTTCAATTTTTCTGTTAATTCTGGGTTTTGGACTCTGCACCAAGCTGTTGTAAACTACATCAGCATATGCAGCTATTGCTTTTTCTTGCAAGTTCCATAATTCAGATCAGCATTACTGAAAATAACCCTCTAGATCTGAGCATTTTACTCGAGTAAGTTGACAACCTTCCCTACATACCTACCAAATAAAGTTAGAGAGATTTGCAGCTTGTGTTTTCAACTCATTTGACTCGATAAAGTGTAAATCATTAGCTAGATTGATCAGTATGTTCATGGGACACATTCATTGGGATAGACAAAAGATAAATAAACATCCCTTTTTCAGGACTGGTAACTCAAGGACATTTCTTTCCAGGATCAGGGGTTGAAAGTTTCCAGTTGAGATCAGTGTTCATGATTATTTTGCCCAACCAATGGCTACTTGTTATACTTAATAAGGAAAAGCATTAGCAACGCACACTGTACCTGTGGAAAACCAGACCCGAACACAATGAATTATGCATCATTTCATTTCAAGATTTAAACCTTTTCTGAACTGTAGATTCAGCACGGACAGGCATCCCCATGTACTTTTGGTTGCTCTTCTAATAACTCATATGAAAATCCTCTTTGCCTTTATTTTGCAATTTGTTATTGATAAAAGCCAGGCATCACCTGGGATTTTTATGAACTGTAAGCTTACCCAGGGAAGCTGTAAATTACTTAAACTATATTATGGCATTTCAGTTGGTATGTTTTAGTGCAGGTGATAGAATTTGTGCTGAAAATGCTCAGCTTCAGGAATTTTCCTAGCAGCCTAAGAGACTAAGAAACAATTTACTACTTTATCCCATGATTAGTCCTTTTTAGATTCTATTAATAGAAAAGCTCCATGGTCACAATCTTAGTGTTTTTCTGAACTAGTGAACTCAATCCAGTTTACAGGAGTCAGTAAAGTGCTGCTAACAATAGTGCCTTTCTTCTCAAACAGGTAAGATCTTCATGCTTTCAGGAGCCAGTTGGATGTGGATCTCCTCTGTTATTAACAGACAAGAAAACTGAAGAGGCTGATGAACTTTTGCAAGGACCCATTTGTAATACAACCTTCAGTAGCGTTTATTCTCCCAATCCTAAAATGAGCACAGACCAGAAAGTGCTATTTGTCTTTCCTGAAGACAACTGTCTTTCAGGAAAGGCGCACATTTCATCCTCAGACACCTTTGAATATTGTACATTTTTCCTACGGTCAAAGTCCCTATTCAATATAGGATCTTCTAGGGTGTTTTTTTAATTTTTAGTTTCATCCTTGTAGCTGTACAGTTTGACTACTAGCTGAATAATACGGGCACGTCAAGAATCACTGAGGAATGCTGCCTATCTGCACTACGCACAGCAGCATCTCACAGAAGACAAAATAAATAGCAGATGTCACTAAGCCATCACTGTGATCCCATCTGCAAATACTATAGGTCCAACTCTTCCAAGTTGCAGCTGTGCAATCACTTCCATTTAAAGATTCACTGCTATAACAGGGAATAATTTTCCTCATGTTATCTAATGTACATATACAGCAGCTTTTATCACAACAGTACAATAAAAGGTGGGGGGCTTGAGGGGCGTAGAAGGGCTGGCATTCAGCAGAATTCCCCAGAGTTCCCTTTTGGGAGATGTGCTGCAAATTCACTGATACAGGACACCTCAGTGTTCAACAAGGACTATGTAACTTAAATACACAGCAGTAGCTTAAGCTAAGAATATTGGCAGGGTGTCCACAGCAATTTTGGGTGAACTCACAGAAACACACACAGGGGATATAATGGCTTAAGCTGTAACTATTCCTTTTTCCATTGTTTCTATTATGTGGTTTAGGGAACATCTTTTAAACATTCTTCACATGCTCCCCTTCCCACCATCCCCAGAAAGGGGGGTGACATTTAGTCCTCCAACCATGAGGTTGTGGAACAAATCCCACACAGCACTAGTGCAGGAAAATTCCATCTTCTGAGAGCAACCACGAAGCTCTGAGCGCCAAGGTTATGTTATGGCATGCAAGCTGACATCAAGTCCATCCTAAAGTTCAGCTCCATGGTCTTTTTCACCTCACCACTATATAAGATTTTCCTGGTGGTTGCTCAAATTGAGTGACACAATTACCGGCCTAACAAATCCTCTCCTCCACCCCATCATTTCCCCTGAGGGAGGACTACGTGGGCAGTAAAGCTTTATCCTCAGATTATCTAAACCACAAAGGTGAGGTTGAACAATTTCAGTTTCCTCTGGACAAAGAGGTGGAGAAATTCTCAGTTGTTCCTGCCAGATAGCCACAGGCTTCTGCTGCTTCTAGGCCAAAACAGCTTGACAGAGGCACTTAGTTTGGAAGTCCCTGAAAAGATGGGCTGTTTCTCAACTCTTCTTTCCAACTAATTCACATGCCTCCTCCACGTCCTACAAGCAGGATTTCAACAGCTTCCTCCAACAGGTTAAACTAGACCAACCAACACAGCTGACCAGCATCCTTGACACCGCTGCTACCATACAGGCGTACACAGACCACCTCACAACAGCACTTCCAGGAGTTTCAGACAAGTTCACAACCTCACACTTGAGAAAGTCTTTACCTCACACACATGCGGAGATCTTTGCCCTGAAGACGTTAGATGTGAACAGGACAGGGCATGGAGGTCGCTGCAATGGTTCTGCGGAGGAAGCTGCTCCCCTCCGAAACCTCACTGCATGGCAGGCCTTCCCTTTAGGTAGCAGAAAGCAAGAAGAGCTCAGGTTGTAGACACATGCTCAAATAGCTACTCAATGCTTGTACAGTAGTGGCAGCAAAGAAGGGACTGAGGCCACCAAAACTGACATTCTCCTCGGGGAGACCGCTGCACAGTAAAAGGCCTGAAAGACTCTGGATGGCATCATGAGAAGAAAGAGTTTAATTCCCAAACAGGGTATCAATCTGTATTTTCAAGGCTCCTGCGGGATAGAAACATTATGCTTTTTTGACCCTCCCAATTCCCTCCCTGTTGCCACCTTGAGCTGATGAGTTAAACTGTTTCCTGAATTACAGTTTGCTAGTGTTGTACAACAGATCATAGACAGCACCTACAGAAGGCACACAAGGTACGGGAGGAACAAAAGACTACTCCTATTCAGAGCTCCAGTACCCAGGTTGCTTCCAGCTCTGGAGAGCAAAGGGAGGGCACATGCTCCTTTCCTATTAGGCAAAAAATTACTTTAAAGTCACCTTGAAAAGAGCCACCACCTTAAGAACAGCCTTCACTAAGTAAGGTTTCTCCACTAGATTTTGTTTCTAGCCTGAACACAGTCCAAATCAGAACATATCAAATATTGCCTTGATTGTTTAGATAACATGCACCTCCCACTCATGTTGGCACCAAAAGAAGCTGTTCCCTTAGCAGATACAAGCTGCCAGTCACAGAGAAACAACCCATTGAAAGGCTACCTGAGAAATCCCAATCTGTTCTGTCACCATCAGCACTGTGCAAAACAGCAACTGAGAGCCAATACCCCACACAGTATTTAGGCAAATATGCATTGATAGACCAGCTGCTTCCCTACAGTTCAGCTCTACCAACAGCTCATCCAGACCTCTCCCAGGCTAATACATCAGACTCCCTGGCACCTGGCACCACCAGCTATAAAAAGGCCAG